AAGCTCGGCCGCTGGTCCACGACACTGGCGCAAAAGGCTAGCAGGCGTGGCACTTTCTCGACACCACAGGGGGTGCGGAGGGGGGTGGTCTCTCAGCTCGGCCGCTATCCACGACACTGGCGCAAAGCCTAGCAAGCGTGGCACTTTCTCGACACCACAGGGGGTGCGCAGGGGGTGGTCACTCAGCTCGGTCGCTATCCACGACGCTGTCGCAAAACCTAGTAGGCGTGGCACTTTCTCGACACCACAAGGGGGTGCGCAGGGGGTGGTCTCTCAGTTCGGCCGCTATCCACGACACTGGCGCAAATCTTAGCAGGCGTGACACTTTCTCGACACCAAAGGAGGTGGGCAGGGGGTGGTCTCTCAGCTCGGCCGCTATCCACGACACTGGCGCAAAGCCTAGCAAGCGTGGCACCTTCTCGACACCACACGGGGTGCGCAGGGGGTGGTCTCTCAGCTCGGCCGCTATCCACGACACTGGCGCAAAAAGGCTAGCAGGCGTGGCACTTTCTCGACACCACACGGGGTGCGCAGGGGGTGGTCTCTCAGCTCGGCCGCTATCCACGGCACTGGAGCAAAGCCTAGCAGGCGTGGCACTTTCTCGACACCACACGGGGTGCGCAGGGGGTGGTCTCTCAGCTCGGCCGCTACCCACGACACTGGCGCAAACCTAGCAAGCGTGGCACTTTCTCGACACCACAGGGGGTGAGAACAGATCGGTATTTCATTAATGGTTTCGGTATGCTATTCACGACACCGGTTTCGGTCGCAAAGACTAGGAGGCGTGGCACTTTCTGAACCACAGGGGGTGCGCATGGGTTGGGTCTCTCAGCTCGGCCGAAAGAGGCGACACTGTCGGCAAAACCCTGCCATTTCAGCTCTCCGCCTCACGCGACGCCAAAGGCGGGTGCGCAGGGGTGGTCTTCAGCTTCGCCCGCCAACCCACGACACTGGCGCACGCCTTTAGCAGGAGTGGCAACTCTTCTCGACACCAAAGAGAGGTGGGCAGGGGGTGGGTCTCTCCGATCTCTTTCAGCTCGGCCGCTATCCACGACACTGCGCAAAGGGGACAGCCAGGCGCCATGGCACTTTCTCGACACCATAGAGGGTGCTCAGGGGGTGGTCCCTCACCGCGGCCGCTGGCTGGCTCGAATCTGTCCTCGATGGAGGACAGAAGGCTAGGAAGAGGGAGGAGGTTCAAGCAATATGGCGTTGGAGGACACAGAGGGGAACATTCGCGACGAGGGCTGAGAACGCAGAATTGCGCATATATTATAAATTTAAGCAAGCACATAATATTTAAATTAAGTATGTGGGGTTCCTCGGTAGCGTAATTTAGTATGTAGAGTAGTCAGGAAGCAGCAGTAGTAGAGTAGTAGTAGTCGTGTAGTAGTTTAGTAGTAGTAGTAGTAGTAGTAGTAGTAGTAGTTAGTAGTTAGTAGTAGTAGTAGTTAGTAGAACAGAAGAGTAGTAGTAGTAGTAGTAGTAGTAGTAGTAGTAGTAGTCGTAGTAGTAGTAGTAGTAGTAGTAGTAGTAGTAGTAGTAGTAGTAGTAGTAGTAGTAGTAGTAGTAGTAGTAGTAGTAGTAGTAGTAGTAGTAGTAGTAGTAGTAGTAGTAATAGTAGTAGTAGTAGTAGTAGTAGTAATGGTAGTGGTAGTGGTAGTGGTGGTAGTAGTGGTAGTAGAAGTAGTAGTAGGTGTAGTAGTAGATGTAGTAGTACTAGTAGTAGTAGTAGTAGTAGTGGTCGTAGAAATAATAGTCGTAGTAGTAGTCGTAATACGAGTTGTAGTAGTAGTGGAAAGTGTGAACGAGGACGAGGAGGAGAAGGAGGAGAAGCAGGAGAAGGAGGCGGAAACATGGGAGGAGGTGGATGAGGAGGAGGAGGAGGAGGAGGAGGAGCAAGAGGAGGAGGGGCCAGTTTTATTCACCGCCGAAAAAAACAAGGGGGGTATCAAAACAAAACACCCGTAGGGGTTACTATCAGGAAAGCGGGCGCAGATTGAAAACATCGCCTCGAAGGCTACAGTCCGAAGCTCCTCTCCTCGCCCCCTTACTGTGGATCCGACACCGTTTTGTGACGCACAGCGCGGTGACCTGGGAATCCCAGCAGACCTCACTGCGCGGTCCGTCACCTCACGGTCTTGGGACCTCGGAGGCCCCAGTCGCCCGAGATGTCCTCGGGGAATGACCCGAGCCCAAAACCGTGCTGTGATCCCCCCACTGACTCACCACGTGGTACAGTCACCATACCGTTAGGCGGCAACCGGCCCTTGGAGGCCGCCCGAGTGGGGTCGGAGCAGGTGGGGTCGGAGGATCGCGCTGCATCGCCGGTGCATTGGCGCCGTCCGGATGAGGAAGGCCAGGCTCCAGATGGCGCAGTGTCACCGATGCATCGGCGATGCGGCGCCACCCTCCGACCGCGTCTGCTGCGGCCCCACAGCTGGGAGGTCTGGGGGCCCTGCCACCATGCTCCCCTGACCGTCTAGACTGCTGAAAGGTAGCCCTCAACACCTGTAGACCTCCCTGGGCTGCTTCAAGAGCCCGACTGGCACTTAGCAATTATAATTCCGACCATGAGAACCGATGTCACGAAGAAACGCAACATCGTAAAACAAACATAATCCTGGCAAAGTAACCTAACAGCGATGTGTAGGAGCATATCTGGAAGCATTCCCCTTAAGATTCAGATGATAATCCTGTTGTAGAATTCTGCTGTTCTCGCAGTCGTAGTCGAATTTGCAATGGCGGTCGCAGTGGCAACGGCAGTCGCAGTCACAGCCTCAGCCTCAGCCTGCCTCAGCCTCAGCCTCAGCCTGCCTCAGCCTCAGCCTGCCTCAGCCTCAGCCTCAGCCTGCTTCAGCCTCAAAATCAGTCTGCCTTCAGCCTCGGCCTCAGCCTGCCTCAGTCTCACCCTGCATCAGCCTCAGCCTCAGCCTCAGCCTGCCTCAGCATCAGCCTGCCTCAGCCTCAGCCTCAGCCTGCCTCTGCCTCAGCCTCAGCCTGCTTCAGCCTCAGCCTCAGTCTGCCGTCGGCCTCGGCCTCAGCCTCAGCCTGCCTCAGCCTCAGCCTGCATCAGTCCTCAGCCTCAGCCTCAGTGCTTGCCTCAGCCCTCAGCCTGCTCAGCCTCAGCCTCAGCCTCAGCCTGCCTCAGACCTAAGCCTGCCTCAGCTCAGCCTCAGCTCCTCCTGCAGCCTGGCTTCAGCCAGCCCTCGTCAGCCTGAGCCGCCTCGCATCCACGCCTCCAGCCTCAGAACTGCCTCAGCGTCTGCCTCAGCCTCAGCCTCAGCCTCAGCCTGCCTCAGCATCAGCCTGCCTCAGCCTCAGCCTCAGCCTCAGCCTGCCTCAGCCTCAGCCTCAGCCTGCTTCAGCCTCAGCCTCAGTCTGCCTGCAGCCTCGGCCTCGGCCTCAGCCTGCCTCCGCCTCAGCCTGCCTCAGCCTCAGCCTCAGCCTGCCTCAGCCTCAGCCTCAGCCTGCTTCAGCCTCAGCCTCAGTCTGCCTTCAGCCTCGGCCTCAGCCTCAGCCTGTCGCAGCCTCAGCCTGCATCAGCCTCAGCCTCAGCCTCAGCCTGCCTCAGCATCAGCCTGCCTCAGCCTCAGCCTCAGCCTGCCTCAGCCTCAGCCTCAGCCTGCTTCAGCCTCAGCCTCAGTCTGCCTTCAGCCTCGGCTTCAGCCTCAGGCTGCCTCAGCCTCAGCCTGCATCAGCCTCAGCCTCAGCCTCAGCCTGCCTCAGCATCAGCCTGCCTCAGCCTCAGCCTCAGCCTGCCTCTGCCTCAGCCTCAGCCTGCTTCAGCCTCAGCCTCAGTCTGCCGTCGGCCTCGGCCTCAGCCTCAGTCTGCCTCAGCCTCAGCCTGCATCAGCCTCAGCCTCAGCCTCAGCCTGCCTCAGCATCAGCATGCCTCAGCCTCAGCCTCAGCCTGCCTCAGCCTCAGCCTCAGCCTGCTTCAGCCTCAGCCTCAGTCTGCCTTCAGCCTCGGCCTCAGCCTCAGCCTGCCTCAGCCTCAGCCTGCATCAGCCTCAGCCTCAGCTGCCTCAGCAGCAGCCTGCCTCAGCTCAGCCTCAGCCTCATGCCTCAGCCTCAGCCTCAGCCTGCTTCAGCCTCAGCCTCAAGTCTGCCTTCAGCCTCAGGGCCTCAGCCTCAGCCTGCATGAGCCTCAGCCTCAGCCCCAGCCTGCCTCAGCATCAGCCTGCCTCAGCCTCAGCCTCAGCCTGCCTCAGCCTCAGCCTCAGCCTGCCTCAGCCTCAGCCTCAGCCTGCTTCAGCCTCAGCCTCAGTCTGCCTTCAGCCTCGGCCTCAGCCTCAGCCTGCCTCAGCCTCAGCCTGCCTCAGCCTCAGCATCAGCCTGCCTCAGCATTCAAAATGTGGCCCGGGAATGGAGTTCTGGGAACTCGAAGACCACGAAGTGGCCTACAGTTGGCTCCGGGCATTCAAAATCATGCCCAGGAATGGAGTTCTGGGAACTCGAAGACCACGAAGTGGCCTACAGTTGGCTCCGGGCATTCAAAATGTGGCCCGGGAATGGAGTTCTGGGAACTCGAAGAACACGAAGTGGCCTACAGTTGGCTCCGGGCATTCAAAATGTGGCCCGGGAATGGAGTTCTGGGAACTCGAAGACCACGAAGTGGCCTACAGTTGGCTCCGGGCATTCAAAATGTGGCCCGGGAGTGGAGTTCTGGGACCTCGAAGACCGCGAAGTGTGTAACTGTTGGCTAAGAAAATACTCGGCACCCTCCTTCGGATCGCGCCCAGACCCCCTGGGGCGTCATGATGCTCTCTTTTGACCCTACTAGAAACCTATCAGTCTTCGCTGTTAGGTAACAACCGGAACCTCAGACTCTTCCGCTGCACTGTTCGAGCCGGATCGACCTGCGAGGGTCCCGGGGCCCAAAGCATGACAAAATGGCCCGTTGTGCAACAAAAATGGCGACGCCAGGATCTCATGGCAGGTCCTGTTGATCTTGCTGCTCGCCCTCCCTGAGAGCCAGGGGCCCCCCCCCGGCCCTCCTCGTCGGCGCCCACGGCGCAGGCCACCTCCGCCAGGGCCGAGCGATCAGCGAGGACTAGGACCAGGAGGGGCCTGACTCCAGATCCGCTGTACTTTGGTGAATCTCCCAGCTTGCAAGAGTGTCGAAAACGCACCCCGCACGATGCGACAGAGAAGGGCGGACATGTCCGCCGTAGACAAGAGTGGCGGATAAGATCCGCAAAGGTATGGCCGAGACAGAGACGGCAGAGTTGGGCGGAAACTGGTATCAACGGAGCTCGAAACATGTAGGGCGGAAACTTCCGCCCTACAGGCAAAATCGCCGGGTCGGGAGTCAAGGGAAGGCGGCGACCAGCGAGGAGAGGCGAGTTGCGGCGCTAGCGGCCATCTCCCCGCCGCGGTCGCGCGGCCGCCCTCTGGGCGGCCGTTGAGCCATCGCGGCTGCGGGGGGGTGGTCGTGGTGGTCATACTGGTCGTGGTCGTGATGGTCGCCGCGGTTGCAGTCGTGGTCATCGGGGTGGTGGTCTTCGTGGTGCTCGTCGTGGTCGCTGCGGGGGTCGTCGTGGTCCTCATCGACATCGTCGTCTTAGTGGTCGTCGTGGCGGTGGTCGCCGTGGTGGTCGTCGTGGTCGCTGCGGGGTCGTTGTGGTCGTCGTCGACGTCGTCGTCGTGGTGGTGGTCGTCGTTATTGTCGTCGTGACTGTCGTCGTGGTGTTGATAGTCGTCGTCGTGGTCTTCTGGGCAATCGGAAGTTTGGTAATAGCCTGCGGTCTGTTTGGCAGACCGCCACCTGCGTTCCACCCCTCAACCTGCACGTCGTCCTTATCACACTTCACATATCCCTCCCCCTCTCCTATCCCTCTTAACACTGCACCCCTCTTTGATTGCATCTCCCTATCTTCTTCATTACCTGCCTCTGCCCCTCCTTTTGTTGTGGCCATGCGCCTGCTGCCGAACAAAAACGAATGTGACAGATCACTGTGATTCCGAGCCGAAGCAACTCCTCATGTCGTGGCGGCCCTCCTTGCTGCCTGCACGCCGCCCGCCTGGCGCGACATCGACCATCGAATCATTGGGCGGCTGTTGTTCGTGGGCCCAGCACGCTGTTTTTGAGCTGGACTGGGCCAGCCCTGGACGTCCGACGTCGTCGTTCACGCGGGGCCCATCCCCAAGATGGGGCGAGAGGAGCACCGGCATTGCAAGAAGCACGGCGTCGGGCGCGGGGGCCGAGGTCTTCAGAGAGAAGCGACAACCATGAGGTTGTGGTTCGCGATCTCGAGGTTGCGGTGTCTGCTGGCCGTATGCTGTGGCCTTCTGCGTACTGGATGCGCCTCTTGCTGCGGGCTCTGAGTTTGACCGTCTGCTCACATAGACTTTCCCTTTTTTCCACCTCGTCACCATCACGTCATCCCTGCTGCTGCTGATTACCGTTCCTCCCTCCTCCATCTCCCTCCTCCTCTTCCCCCTCCTCAAGGCAAGGGAAGCGAGGAGGGGATTCGGAAATTAGACGGTGTGGAAGGAAGGGGGGGGCGGACGGGTCGGGGCGGCAATGGGAATAGAAGGAGAGGCGGGGGAGAGGGAGGGTCGTCGTCGAACGATGGGAATGGCGGCCCGCCGTCCTCAACTCGACTGGCACTCCTATACCTGCTGGATACAGAGCACAGCAGCAGAGAAACAAGAGAGGCAAAATGCGGGCGAGGGAGGGATTGGCGGCGAGCGAGGGGGGGAAATGAAAAGGAGAAGGCCTTCTCAAAGGCGGCGGGACTTCTCAGAAGCCCACGCGCCTTCTGAGAGGTTTTTGATGTCTTCGGGGAAGGCTTGGAACACTTCTCAGAAGGCTGGGGGACTTTCGAACCTTCTGAGAAGACCTTCCTCTTCTCACTTCCCCCCTTCGCTCGCCGCCGAAGGGAGGGAGGCAGGAGACACTGGGGAGGTTGCCCATCGGCCCGCCCGCGCGCCTGCCTGCCCGTCGTCGTCCTCGTCGTGAAGAGTTATGTGGGCGACATTTGGCCCTCGCTGAGCCTGCGGAGGCGACCGCCGGGGGCGACCTCCGAACACCTTCCCGACCAGCCATAACTGGGGGAGCTGTGGTCCTTACCCCCCAGGGGGAACCATCGCATCGAGGATCTCTCGAGAGGGGTGTCGAAATCGATGGGTCCCCCAGGGGGGTAAGGACCACAGCTCCCCCAGTTGTGGCTGGCCTGCCTTCGGAGGATGGCCAAGAATCGAGGCTCGAGGACCGCGGCCGGATCCGTCTCGCGATTCTGGCCAGAACGCGCCCCACGACAGTGTCCAAGGGTCGCCTTCGCCGTCGCCAGCGTCGTCCGCTTGCGTCGTCCGTCGTCCGTCGTCGTCGTCGTCGTCGTCGTCCCCCTGTGTCTTCTGTGGTCGTCGTCGTCGTCGTCGTCCACTGCTTCTAAACTATGAGGGGGTTCCCCCAACGATGATCACCCCGATGCGGCGGCGACGGGTCCGTCGGGGACAGATGCGCAAAAACGATTTGTCCGCCGCACGGAACTATTGAGAAGTTATTGTAAAAAGTTGTGCGATGTGCGATGGGCGCGCCGTGGACAGTGAAGTTCAACCATGTGTGGCGCGCAATTTTTTCGGTGCGACGGCGACGGCGGGTGGCCAGACAGATGCACAGTACGTAACCAAGCACGTTCGCCGACGGTGCGACAGCGACCGGCGAGGCCGCGACAGATAGACAGTTCGTTTGTTTCCGGAGAACTCCTAAGATAGACTGTGGGAAGGATGGGGAAGCCATTCTGCTTCACCCTTGGTGCCTTTGCAGGGCCGCTTGGGGCCGTTTCGCCTGAGACGTCGTCGCAACATGGAGACGTCGGCCCGAGAAAAGCCAACGTGGCCTTCACCATGCACACACATCTCTGCAGCGCACGCAATGGCCAAAACACAATATAAAAATCCCACCAGCCCTTTGGGCGTGAGTGGTTTAAAGAGCCCTCTCTGTCCTCAACCCCATTCTTCCCCTTGGGGGAGGGGTTTACCCGTCCCCCTACCCCCTCCCCCTGGGCCTGGAAGGGGCGTTTCGCGGGTCGTTGGGTCACCGAAGATGGCCTAAGATGGCGCCAAGAGGGCCCAAGAGAGCTCAAGGTGACCTCCAAGATCGCTCAAGATAGCCCTCGATGACTCAATATAGCTCCCAACATGCGTACAAGACGCTCCAAGACCGCCCCAAGACGGCTCCACGTGGTCACGGGGCTCCCGATGCATCGTGTAATTGTTTTATACCATCGGAGGCCATGTTAAGTTCAAAACTCAATGGTCAAAACCCAATGTAAATATTCACTATCTGGGCCCAAGAGGCTGCCACATAAGCGTGGAATATATACAACCAATACAATATGCGAGGCGCGCGCGCGCGCTGGTGACCCGCGCGGGGCCGGGTCACCCGCGCGCGCGATGCATCCTGTATTGGTTTTATTCCATCGGAGGCCATGTTAAGGTGAAAACTCAATTGTCGAAACCCAATGTAAAAATTCATTCTCTGGGCCCAAGAGGCGGCCATATAAATGTGGAAAATATACAAACCAATACAATATGCGAAGCGCGCGGGCGCGCTGGTGACCCGCGCGGTGCCGGGTCACCCGCGCGCGCGCGCGATGCCTCCTGTATTGGTTTTATACAATCGGAGGCCATGTTAAGTTGAAAACTCAATGATCAAAACCCAATGTAAATATTCATTCTCTGGGCCCAAGAGGCGGCCATGCCCACGTCAAATATAGAAAACACAATACAATGGGCGAGGCGAGCGCGGGCGCGCTGGTGACCCGCGCGGGGCCGGGTCATCCGCGCGCGCGCGCGATGCATCCTGTATTGGTTTTATACAATCGGAGGCCATGTTAAGGTGAAAACTCAATTGTCCAAACCCAATGTAAAAATTCATTCTCTGGGCCCAAGAGGCGGCCATATAAATGTGGAAAATATACAAACGAATACAATGTACGAAGCGCGCGGGCGCGCTGGTGACCCGCGCGGTGCCAGGTCACCCGCGCGCGCGCGCGATGCCTCCTGTATTGGTTTTATACAATCGGAGGCCATGTTAAGTTGAAAACTCAATGATCAAAACCCAATGTAAATATTCATTCTCTGGGCCCAAGAGGCGGCCATGCCAACGTCAAATATAGAAAACACAATACAATATGCGAGGCGCGCGGGCGCGCTGGTGACCCGCGCGGTGCCGGGTCACCCGCACGCGCGCGCGATGCCTCCTGTATTGGTTTTATACAATCGGAGGCCATGTTAATATGACAACTCAATGATCAAAACCCAATGTAAATATTCATTCTCTGGGCCCAAGAGGCGGCCATGCCAACGTCAAATACAGAAAACACAATACAATATGCAAGGCGAGCGCGGGCGCGCTGGTGACCCGCGCGGGGCCGGGTCACCCGCGCGCGCGCGCGATGCATCCTGTATTGGTTTTAGACAATCGGAGGCCATGTTAAGTTGAAAACTCAATGATCAAACCCCAATGTAAATATTCATTCTCGAGGCCCAAGAGGCGGCCATGTAAACCTTGGCAGGTCTTAGCAGCATTTCCATTCCCCTCCGTTTGGGTAACTGGAAGAAATGGGCCGCCACCAATGGATAGACGCCCCCCGCCAGTCAAGCCGCGCCGAGGGTGCGACGGCGCCCGGGGGATGGGCAGATAGACGGACAGAAGATGCGCAGACGTATCGGTGCGACGGCGCCTGGGGGGATAGATGTAGATACATGGATACGCCGCGCCAGCCAAGCAAAGCCGACGGTGCGGCGGCGAACGCTTTTTGAATATTGACCAGAACGGAGATCAATACAGGGGGAACCCCCTTATTCTAAACTGATTCGTTTCGTTTCAAGCGGGTCGGGCTTCAACATCCCATGTTTTGAAGGGGGGCGAGAATCACGTCATCGATTCCGCGACCGATTTCAACATCTCCGCTGTACGAGGATGTCTCAGACGAAACCGTCGTGTTTATCATACGACGTCTGAAACGAGATCCTCAAATATTGCCATTCGGCGAATATGCCTCGGGCGAAACGCTTACTTCGAGCATCTCTCCTGACATGAACGGGAAGCGCCGGAAAGATGCGAGCTCTCCGATCGTCCCATGGGCATGCCGTTCACAAACCTGTTCATATTATCCTGCTCACCCCTGTACTCCTCCAGTTTCCCACGGCCCCCCTCAATTCCATCGTCATCTATATTTCCATAATCGACACCATCGCCAACACCTGATTTATCATCGTACCACCATCATAGTCACCACCATCAGCAACATCATGAACAAACTCGTCATCATCACCATCAACATCAATACCAGCGTGAGCACTCGCGTCGGCATCTGCCACGGCATCTGCTTCAGCATCACAATCAACTTAAGCATCAACTTCATTACTGGCATCTGCATCATTTTCTGATGCTTCCTAAGGCCCGT